TTATAAATGCAATATCTTTAACAACGTATAAGGAAATACATGAAATCCGACAGGTTAGTATAAAATAATTTCAATCTTACACTAATTTAATCGAAAATCAACAGGAATTTTTTAAGGGCACAAACTATAAAACGCAAACAACCTCTCGGTATACTAGTAGACTGTGTAATTGTAACTAACAAAATTAACTCCATAAAGAAGAATCATTCTTCAAAAGTTAATTTTCTCTCAGGTGGTAAAGACATTCGCCATTTTTATTGATTTTAAATGTTCAGTGCCGCGTTCAAATCAGCTCGCAACTGGTCTCTGTCCTAACCCAGATGAATGTAGTTCCGGCCCCCATTTAGTAACATTTTAATACTGTCCACACATCTCTACCTATGTCTCTCAAATTCTCTCTTCTCTTCTGATCTGAGATAAAATTCTATACGTACTATCATATCCTCCATGCGCGTTACATGCTTTATCCATATCATGCTCCTTGATTCGATCCGAGAAAGAAAGAGACAACTAAATAAGAAATATTTGTTTGGATTTATACATGCTACAGAAGGCAACTGATCGAAATGTAGTCAGAACTGGACCATATGTTCCCAAACGGGGGCAGCTTAGTCGGCCAGGCATGTACCCCTACCATTCAAAGATTAATTGCCAAATTCGTTAAAAAAAATCGTCTTCATATAACGGCTCATTCGTCTATGATGTTTATGTATGTGATCTTCATTTCTCTGCAAATAAACTCAGGTTATTACTACAGTGTAATAACACAAGGTATGGCCTGTTTATATGTAAGCGTTTTATCACATAGCACATCTTCAATGCAAAGGTAAAAATTTCCTGCTTAAAAATGCGTCTTACGAGTAACATAATCCACATATTAAATGTTACAAGTACTGTCAGTTTTTAATACCAAAGAATCCAATAAATTTCAGTTCCAGCATTGAGGAGAAACGTCTATTTCAATACATAAACAACACCAGAGAAGAGCTCATGTTAAAACCGTGTTCGCAGTGTTAGCCCGGCTAACGCTTTGAAAAACGAAAAATAAAGCCTTCTGTCAAACTTTCATGTTCCAGTGACATCTCATGTACTGTAACACACCAGAACCAATCGGATAAAATGCATCGTTAGATACACCCAGCCAACCAGACGTCGTTAGTCAGCTAGTTGAATACGCTCGTCGCGAGCGCCTTAACTAGCTGGCAGACGTATAATATTACCGCGGTATTAGTTTAAATGCATCACAGACTGGATTTAGACAGTAAACTGGATCAAGGAACAGACAGACACAAAGACTTATCGCAGATGTAGGTACGCACAAAGAAAACAAACAGTCTCACTGATTTGAAATAGAACGTATGGTCAACATTTAGTTAAGTCGACAGGTGAGACATAAATATATGGGAGGGATGTCAAGTAGATTGTAAATCGTCTGTACAAAGTAACTTCATGGAAAGACGACGGACCGAAGAAAACCATGGTTCCTTGAATGAACATCGGTCATTCAGTACAGATAACAGCGTTTAAATTAAGCCAGGCAACGATACATAGATATATGGAATAATTAAGGACAGTTAGGAGGCACAAGATAGTAATAGAATTATAAAACCAGAAGTGTAAACTGAACCCCCCGAGGAGGAGATTGCCAGATTACGTTGCTGAGGCCACGATCGTCCCAGGCCGGGAGGTGGTACGGCTTGGGGAGGGTAAAGCGGTGAAAAGTCAAAAGAAAACCAAATGAAACTACTTCGAATAATCGAAGTATATTATTTAATGAAAAATATTTAAATATAAGATAAACAGAATCAAGACACCTTTCAGGGCTCAAACTCCGGCTGGGTATGCGACTCCAGATGCCCAACTCAACCCCCACAAACCCTGACTTGCCTTCCGACTTTCTCCTCGAGTCGTTCTCTCTCCGGCGGACACACACAGACTGT